AGGTTAATGGTCTTTCCATTGTTGAGGACATTCTGTAACTTTTTGCTATGTAGAATGTTATCTATATAGATCCAAAGCCTTTCAACAACATCTTCCTTCAGTTCAAGTTTTTTCTTATAAAATGCAACCAATGACTGTCCTGCCCAATCAAGTAATACCTAAATTTGGAAGAAATATACTCTGAAAATAAATGAATTTCTTTACCAAGAAATAAAAGCACTGGACATTTACAGGGACATTCCATGTATAACACCAAGCCGAATTGCCAGGGGGGAAAAACTCTCCTTTAAAACTTACCTTTGGTAACGTTGTATGTATTACATAAATATTTTAGGATCTTAAAATGTTATAAAGAATTAATAAAAAGAGAACAAAACTTATTTCGTCTTCATCAGACATCAATAAAAAGTTTCGAGTGAAACCCTTTGACAGTTTCTTCTAACTAATTCCCCCATACAGTGATGCTAAATTTTGAAAGTTAGAAGCATAACAATTGCTCAGAATGGCCAAGACCTAATCACACACAGAAGCAGAGATGTAGAGTTACAAGGTAGGGCGTCTTCTGCTTTCCACGTGCTCTGAATCTATTACCTCATCTAGAAGATGTAAAGTGATTCAGAGTGCTTTCTGACAAGAAGGGTTGGACATACATACTTTCCACTACTGTGACATGTTTCTTTATTCAGAAACACAAGGAAAGGTGGTGAGGCCTCAGCTCACAATACAGAATTATCGTAACAGTGACGGATACTAAAAAGAAAGAACATCTAAGGATAAGGAGAGCGGAGACCTGATCAAACTGCCTGCCACGACTTCCCTTCCATCACACCCTGTGTAGCACGGGCCAGGAGACTGGCAAGCTGCCAAGATGATTCTCAGGTGCAGCCAGGTGTAGAAACTGCTAAATATGCTAGTGCTCTACCCACTGTATGTCACCATCGTTTTAACAGATGTAATCCATCTGACACATTTTGTGTTCTCTACCTTAATTAATATCCGTATATGGGTGTATATGGATCTAGTTTCATGAGCTCATCCAAAACACGCTTAGCCAAATAAGACAGAAATGTTAACAAAGAGCAATGTCTTTTTTGATCCCTAATCTAGAATGGCTTAATACAAATACTAAAGTTTCTCCACTTCCCAACTTTCAACTCGTCAAATTCCAAAAATGTTTAACAAAGCTCCGACAAGCAGTTGCTTACGGGGCATCACTTTGGATTTACAAACAAATGGAGCTACCAACACACTGAGAGCCTAACTTCTGCAACCTAATTCCCAATTTGTTCACTGATGCATATACTTAATTCAGAATAGAAGAGACGCTAACTGAGGTTTTGCAACAGCAAGTTTGTTAATGAAATACCTGACTTACTTTTTTTCACTGACATTACTTGAACTTCCAACCATGTTTCCTTCCCCAACCTTTTCTCTAATCTTTTTAAAGTTTAACTAAATGTCAATATGCAATCTACATAAATGATAATTGTTTTAGGTTATAAAAATGTAAGCTTCACATTAAACTTACTTGTTCTTTATTTGGAAGAACGCACTGGTGGGAAATCCAAGCAAAGTGAGCCAGCTTTAGTTTATCTTCCCAGGAAGTTGTCTTGCTTTTAAGCTTAAGGGAAATGCCAGAATAAACAGCAGCCATTGCTACACTTTATCTACAATTTAAAACAATGGAAATAAATTATATTAAGGTAAGCGCAACAGGCACCAGGAAATGAACATTGTGTATCTTATTGCTACATAATATATATTATATTGAAAAAAAAATACACACACACACACACACACATATTTAATGAATTAACACCACACATCAACAGAACTGTTGGGCATAAATCTACACGTACGTTGCTTAAGTACAAGAATTTTCTGGGGGAGATTGAAACAGAAGCAGGAAGAAGATGGATTCCACACACAGGTACAAATATTCCTGCTGTGATGGAACACTACATCCTCAGAAGTGGGTGTGCAGGAATTCAACTGGGCAAAACCCAAAGTGTTCAAATTACTTGTGAAAGGAGATTATTTACACACAACTTTAGATTGAAAAAGGTAAGTTTCTGTATAAATCTACTGAATTATACTATGTATTATGTATTAGAAACAGCTCCATTAAGTAGTTCAAACAGCTAAATAAGTAGTATTTGGAGAAAGTAATATTTCTCCATGTAAAATTAAGTACAGCATAAACCCAGTCTCAACAGTAGTTATTTCAGCTGCAACAGTAACTTCCCACTATAACTTTATTCCTTAATGTATAAATTTACAAAGACACACTACTTCCCAAAAGACTCTACAAAATAGTTATACAATTGACTGTAAAAACAGAATACAATAAAATCATGAATAAAGAAGGAAAGCAGACATACCAACCACCTGTAATTCTATTGGGTTGTCAGAAAAGTCATGACGCATTTTTGCAACAAAAAACAGAAAAAATATGTCATGACTTTCCGACAACTCAGTATATACCTGAGGTTATATACCGTATTCCCCCATGTATAAGACACACCCTTTTTCAAAAAATTTGGGGTCTAAAAACTGGGTGTGTCTTATACAGTGGTTGTAGATTTTTTTTACTTGCATTTCCCGCTTTTTCGCGCTTGTTTTCTTTGCGCTTATTGTTTCGCACTTGTTACTGGTATATTACGGTAGGTTACGTTTTGCCACGTTCTGCCCAGAAATGGCTCAGAAAAGATTTTTATACAGTGCTGAATTCAAGTTAAAAGTGATCCAGTTTGTAAAAGTGAATGGAAATCGTGCTGCTGAATGTAAGTTTGGTCCTCCTCCAACCAAGGAAACAATCCGAGACTGGCTACGGGAAGAAGAAACCCTACTGAAAACGCCACGGCAGAAGAAGGCCATGAGAGGCAATATATGAAGACAGTGATTCATCATCCGACACAGATGAGGACAAGCTAATGGTTGGGAGTTTTGACAGTGTTGAGGAGTTGTATTAATTTTATGATGAATAAGACGAGTTCAATAACTTTATGTAATACATTTTTTTTCAAATTTTGGGCCCCAAAATTAAGGGGCATCTTATACATGGCAGTGTCTTATACATGAGGAAATATTGTAACTCTGAGTTTCCTAAAAGTCATAGTAAAAAGGGGAAACATTTGGTTAAGCCATTTTCATTACATGAAAGTACACAAACCAGTTCTTCAAGAGAGAAAAGTTTTCAGGATACTTAACACTGAAATAAAATTCTCGTAAATAAAAACAAAACAGGTCAACAGAAATACAAGGAAAAATTGCAGTACCACGATACTAACATGAAACGATCAAACCAAAAGAATTTGATATACTAAGGGAGGGATCACTTGCACTTTTTAATTAGAATCTCTGGGGCCTGAAATCCTATAGCCCAACCTTCAGAACTTACTCTCAATGGGCAACTCTGGGGAATGCGAAAACACCAGGCGAAGGACACCTTCAGCACATTATCCTTCACCGGTACAGAGGACAGTCGAGCGCTGTCATTTTCCTATTTTGTCAAAATGTCCAATACCTATTCAACAACTGCTTACTTAACTTTTACGTTCAATATGTTTGTAGCCCTCGCCACGGCTACAAAGTACATAAAAAGTGTCTGCAGGATTAGCTACAAAGTTGCCCCGGGTACCGTCCGGGAGCCTACAGACGTTCCGAACGCCCTGGGTGCCCTTCAGCGGTCTTAGCAAGGTGTGAAAAGCCCAGTGCGGTCAGCAAAGCCCCGTTAGTTCTCACGCAACGGCCGCTTACGCGCGGCTACACCGAATTCTGCGGCGCAGAACAAAACCAAGTAACAAGCATCAGGAGAGAGCAGCTGGGAGCGATGTGAGAAGCCGCCGCAGGAGCGGGCGCAGAAGGCTCTCGCCCAACGCTTGAGAACCCGGGGAGAGGCCGGGCCGGGGTGGAAGGTCGCCCCAGGTAAGGAGCTCACCTCGAGGCCGACCCTGGGTCGGGGCTAACCTGTAGGCGGTCCCCAGGTAAGGGGCTCACCCTGAGGCGGACCCCGGGTCGGGGCTCACCTGGAAGCAGACCCTGGGCCAGGGCTACCTTTGGGCGGTCCCGGCAAGGCGCTCACCTCAAGGACCGGCCGGGCTAGGGACCGCGCGCTCGCGGGCCAGGACGGAGGACCGCGGCCGCAGGTCGGGGCTCCCGGTGGCCCCACCACGTGGGACCGGCCCGCGCTCTTCCGCCCGACGGCGGCGCGGCGGGGCGGGGCGGCGCGCACGCCAGGCATCGCCAGCAGAGCGCCGAGGCGCCTCGCCCATTGGCGGAGACGGTTGCGCGTTGGAGGCCGGGCCGGCCCAGCCCGCGGCCCGCTCCGTGTCAGTCAGTCATGGAGCGGCCGCCCAGAGCCGCGGTCGGGGCGGCAGGGCGCGGGGCGCGGGGGCCTGGCTGAGCCGGCCGTCGGAGCGAGACCCTGCCGCAGAGACGACGGAGGCGGAAGCGACCCGATCCCGGGGGCGGCGGCGGCGGGGGGAGCCGGAGCCGCCTGGGATGTTCAGTGAGTGCGGGGCGCGTGGGCGCGGAGGGCCGGGAGGGGGTGTGTAGCACGGGCCAGGAGACTGGCAAGCTGCCAAGATGATTCTCAGGTGCAGCCAGGTGTAGAAACTGCTAAATATGCTAGTGCTCTACCCAC